TCGGAGCTCGTCTGCCTGGCTGTGTGTTTCCTGGACGGGGCCGCCTGTGGAGCTGGTTGACAGTTGCCTTTTGTATCTATGCTTCTTTTTCTATGTCTGCTTCTGTCTCCTTGAACCCCAGTGGGCCTCAGCAGATGGCCGCTCACACTGAGCCTGGTTCTGCTGGAGGTTTCTTCCTGTTCAAAGGGAGTTTTTCCTCTCCACTGTCGCTACAAGCATGCTTAGTGTGAGGGATTGCTGAAGAGTCAATGAGTCGATGCAATCAGCTGGTTTTCCTTAGATAGAAAACTTTGAATCAATCTGACTGGATGATCTGGTTGATCTGGATCTATAAAGTGACCTGAGATGACATGATGTGAATTGGAGCTATAGAAATAAACTGAATAGAATGTCTTTAAATCTGTTTCATTTAGTTAGAATGCTATGTTCCCACTGCAAGAGATCGAAGCAGCAGCTTTACATGCAAAGTCAAGGATCCTGCAGGGTGTCTCTATTGTAGAGCATCTGAGCTTCTGAGGCGCTTTACAAGCAGCAGCTGCTGGAGTTGGAAACATGTAACTTTAGCTGCTGGACATCAACCAATGAGAGAAGCTGATCTGGGAGCTGGCAGGGAGTCAGACGCAGCACTGCTGATGCAGAGCGCTATGATCACTCCTCTGAAACAGTTTATTAACGCCTAAATTAACTTCAAATGTAGAAACCTGCCGGCAGAATATGTTGGCTTTTATTATCCTGCTGCCTGCAGTTTGTAGCACAGACCTGAAAAACGCTAACATCTACTTCCAGCCGCCACCAACAGGAGGGGAAAACCCTGGAGAGGCGAGCGGGCCTGAGGCAGCTGCTGCTGGGGATTCCCAGTGACAGCGCAGCGCCGGTATGTGGGGGTCTGAGCGGCTCCCACAGAGAAATAATCTTTGAAGGCAGGATGGTAATCTGGATGAACTGACTGCACAGACCATGTTTTCAGGAGGACTTTCTCACTTCAACATAGATTCTAACTACTTTCTACCCGCTGATCACAGCTAATATAGCAAAGCTGCTCTCTGGCATCGAACACAGGAGCAGCAGAAGCTTCTGGACTCACTTTACTGGACGTCTGACCTTAATGTTTAAAGCTTCAGAAATGAAGCAGCAGAAGCCTCTTTGCTGCCCAAAGCGCTTCTGGTGTGAACGTAGCATAAATCATTAAGTCCATGAGATGAAATTTGAATGAGGTGTGACTGTGCTAACCTTACTATTTGTTCCACAGCATATTTTACACCTTCAAAAAAATTGTTGATTATAAACAAAATGTCCGGTTTTGCATCTTATTCCAAACTTGTGAAAATATTGTTTCTAGAATTTTACCTTTAATGTATTTTGTGAGCTATCCAGTGTTAATTTCATCAACCAGAAGCACTGAAACCACAGCCAGATCAGAGGTTGGGGGAGGAAGGGAAGTCTGTTGCAGAGATGTAGGGAGTCCCCCCACCGTACAAATCTGACGCCAAAGAGCAGAAAGCTCTGGAGAACTCAATGGCAAAGTGGATTGGGCGTTCTGGCCTGCCTGCAAGGACCATTGAGGATGAAGACTTTGTGTCATGATCTGGTCTGTTTGCTCTCCCTTAATTAGTCATTCCATTCACCTGCCGTTTTCCCTCCCTGGGCCAGATCATTGCCTGTCTTTCTGTCAGTCTTTCTGTTCAGTTTTAGTTCATGGTTCATGTCCTGGATCCTAGCTGCCAGTGGAAAGAGGGTTTTAGTTTGTCTCGTCTCCTGATCATCCACTGTTCCTCCCCCGCGGAGTCCTCTGGGTTTTTGGCTCATTATGGGGGGTAGGTTCAGTTTTTATCCAGTAAGCCTGGCTCCAGGGAGGAGACCAGTTTAAAGTCCTGCATCAAGTTCCGGTTCCTACGTCCTGTCTCGGCTACCCTCTTCCACTGAGCCTGCCTGTCTGCACCTGATCCTGTCTGCACCTGATCCTGTCTGCTCCTGTCCGTGACCACCTGGTCATGCTTCTGGTCCCAGTCAGACTCTGAACCCTCCTGGGAGGCTGTGGATGCCTGGAAGTCTGGATCCTGCCCCCTGTTTCTGTTCCTGCCTGATCTGGATCCTGTTCCTGTCTGTTCTGGATCCCTCACCAGGATCGGCTTCCAGCATAACCTCTGGGACTGCAGCACTGGGGACATTTTTGGTCTGGACTGTTAAACCAGGTAACTGCCTGCAGTTGCCGCGTGCAATAGATCCTAGCAGCTTCCCTTTTAGTTTTGTTTTTTCATTTAATAAACCTTTTGAACTTTCTGTTGGGATCTGGAGAAGTTCCACCTTTCTCCAGCAGAGTCCGCCGTGGATCCTCCTGAGTTGAGCCTTCGACACACCTGTGGCGCATCTCATCATCAGAGGATCCTCCAGTATATAACCTGCCTTCAGACCTTGCCTCAACGCCGCAGTGTTTATCCAGTTTGGTTAGCACCTAAGCCTAGCTTCTACTGAGAACCTTTGTTGCTCCTGATTCCTGATTGGATTCTAATCCTTCTTTGTCTCTGCTTTCAGGAATCCAGTTTCCCTTGTAAGCTCTGGATGAGCTTAACCTGCCGAGCCTGCCCTCTGAGCCAAGCCTGAAGACTCTTCTCTGGATTCCCATGCTGCTCTGGACTAAGAGCTGGAAACCCAAAGCCAAGGTCTGCCCTCACGCTAGAAGTAAGATGCTGAAGCGGTTATTGGACTCTGCTGAACTAAACAGTCTCTGGACCCAACAGTTCCTCTCTCAAAGCTAAACCCGGACTCCTCAAGGTATAAACCTGAAACTCTCAAATCCAAATCCATCTGCGTCCAAGCTAACTGAACTGTCATCCTCAAAGACTCCAGTGAACCCGCGCCCAGGCCTGAACCAGTTCCTGTGTTTATTCCATGTGCTTGTGCTCAATAAAACTTGTTAAACTTTTCATCTGTTTCTGTGGTGTTCTGCATACTGGGCTTTTCTGAAACCCATCATGACACTTTCCTACTGACTGTCTCTCCTTGAATACTGGGTCCCTCTGTCCGCGTTTCACGACACTTTGTGGAAATGATGAAACAAGCAGATAAAAGGTTCAATGTGTGCAGAGGGATATATGTTAAAAAGAGAATCAGTGAGCGGAGAGGTTCTATTATTTACAGTTTTGACTAAAATTTGACCAAGACTAAAATTTATTTTCATCATTTAGACTAAGACTAAAACTAAATCAGGAAGGCAATGACTAAATATGACTAAGACTAAAGTTTATTTTTGTCATTGTGATGAAATTAATACTGGCGCTATCATCATTCATGTATGTGCGGCAAGTTTTGTGTTTGTAGGACTTTTGCACCTTGCTGCACTGGAGCATTTCTCAGTTGCTGCTTTTTTGTCTTTTGTCTCTTATTTTAGAGTTTGCTTTCCTCAAATTTGTATTTGCAAACTTTCTGTTATCTTTTCTTTCCTTTTTTGCTTTGCATTTACAAATATGTTGGGTGTTTTTTCTCCATGGCGACCGTAAGTTCAGAGTAAAATAGACCCTGAAACTAATTCACATCACATGTTAGTATTTACAGTTATAGTTGTAGGTTTAATTTCCAATACTGTTTAAAAAGGCAAATAAAACAACAATATGTTAAATTAGACATTAGCCAGTAAAACAACAGCGCACATATTTCCCTTTAACTTCACATTTTTGTATCTCTTCGTATTACAGAACCTAAATCTAAAGTGCATTTAGGTTTATGGCTGTGATGTAACAATATTTGATAAAGTATAGGCGATACACAGACTCGATCATCCTGTAATAAGGATATAAAAATCCCATGATGGAAAATAAATTCTTTCAGTTTCACCTCACAACAGCCACATTGTTTATAAAAGACTTAATCAAATCTAGGAGAGATGCTGATAAGAGCTGATCTTGCGTCACTGACAGCCTAGTTCACGGGTATGGAAGCTCTCCTCCTCACAGCTTCACCCATGCAGTCAGTTTTATTCACCCTTCAACATTTAAAGTTTAATCACAACATCCAGAAAGATTTCTGTCATAAATATCCATGTAAACAACATATTAATCCTTGATTTATATTCATCATATTGATGTTATCAGTAGTATACGGTGGCCCTGAACTGCAAACTGCAACTACATTAAGAAAAACAAAACTACATAAAGCAAAGCGCAACTCCGGTAGGTTCATGTAATTGTGTTTTCCTTAATGTAGTTGTGCTTTTAGATTTTGTAGTTGCAGTTTGCACCTCTGGGCCACCATAGTAGTAATACTATGGGTCAATAGTTAACGAGGAGATGGTCAGAATGAAAAAAAAACATCCACACACTCCTAGGATCATTTTGAGACGCGGATTTAGACGTTATGCATGAAGAACCTGGGATAACGGGGAAAAGCAACATGCAAACTTAACACGCCGCCTGGTTTCAAACACATTCCTGCTGTAACAAAACTATAACATCAAGTTAACATCAAACTGTAACATCAAGCTGAATTTTTGCATTTAGTCTCTGCACCAAAGTGGGAAACATTACAGTGTTTCCTTTAAATCTATCGTCCAGATCTAATAACAGAAACAGGCTGTTTGAGGCAGAAAACAGCATCATTTCTCTCCCCAGAGGAACTTTATTGAAGAATAGAAAATAATTCCACTTTATTCTCATTCCACTAGCAGGGTGAGGTTAAGGGTCTTTCTCAGGGACCCATAACGATCTAAACATACAATAAATATACAGGAGAAACAAACAACCATCGTTAAACTGCTGAAAACTGTGAATGTTTCTCTCTTATTTCCTCAGTCTCTGTGTTCCACCGTTTGGACGATCTGGATGGAGAAACATTCTGACCAAAGACGGTTCTCTATTAGTGACAATGTCAGTTAAAGTAAATCAACTTGCTGCTGTGAGGAGCTTCTGTCCTAGTTAACAGATTATTACTGACTAGAGTCATTTGCTGTTATAGAAAGACTCGAGGATTTTCCTCCTTGCTGTAATCGAATGTGTCAGAGAACTCACCGTGAAAGACAGCAACCAGATGTGGGTTAGAGCTGGACTCCTAACTGGTTAGGATGCAAGCGGATCTACATCTCTTACTTGACATTTCTGTAGCATGTTACCCAATGCGTGTAGCTGCAAGTGTGATGTCACATGCAGGCCTGCTTTGTGTCCTCAGGCTGTTGTAATGAGTGCTAATAAAGATGACCTTTTGTTCGCCTGCTTTTACATCCATGCTTCAGCAGACAACAAATGCAGCTCTGTGTTATCCGCTAAACGTCTATAAACAACAGATCTATGTTCCTCCGATGGACGAGGCTATCTGCATTTTCCCTCTTGTTTCTTATAACTGATCGTTTCTCTTTCTCTGAATGATCTAGAGAATAGATATAGAAAATCAGAGCTACGGACGTTTCACCTGTTAAAGAAAGACATTTATATTTTTGTCTGTTTTGTTTTTAAACTAATCAGCGGGTGAAGTCTGTTCACCCACTGATCTGCATGACAGTGGGATCCAAAGCCAACATAGGCCTGGACTTTCTCATTATTATTTTATGAGTTTATTCTATTCTTAATTAGGCCTTCGCAGCAAAGCGCTGCGGTTCTTTTGGCACTTTGAACGCATTTTACGGGGACTTCGCATATTCAAAAACTCACAAAAACGTGGCAGTAAATTGTCCCCCGCGTGAAATAGCCGGTCTATAATGGAATCCAAAATGGCCGCCCCAAAATTACGCCACAGCGCCCCCTAACGTGAGGTGGGGGAAACTGTCAGTCACAGAGATTTGAAATTTGGCACACAGGTAGATCTCCTCAAATCATGAAAATAAGTCTCTTGGAGGTATGCCCTAAAACCCACAGGAAGTCGGCCATTTTGGGTCAAAGTGCGATTTTTGGCCATTTTTCATTTTCGCTCATGTCGAACTTTAAGGATACGTTTCAAGAATTTCAAAATGGAATAACTTTTACAAAAAAAAATTCAAATCGAACCAAGTTTGGCGGTAAGGAGCACCTTTGGGTGTTTGACCATACTGGCTGGTCAAATGATGACATAATCTAAGCCCCGCCCCCTAAGGGAAGAAAGTCCCTTTTTTCCACTTGTGAGGGTCCCTTTCAGTCATTTTAAACACCAGCACCTTGAAACTTTGTCAGATGATAGAAAACATGTTGGTCTAACTTCGTTTAAAGCACAAAGATTTTGAGTTAAATGGCGTTGCCATGGTGACCTGGCAAAGTCAGGCGTTTCGCCGTGACCATACTTTTGGCTCTCATCTCCTCACAGATCCTTCAATCTGCACCAAAATCACTATGATGGAACTTGGTTCAAGCCCACACAAGAATCTAGGCCAATAATCGGTGGGCGTGGCTTACTTTCTCTACAGCGCCCCCTAGAAAAACTAAAACGACCAGCCCCAAGCCATGCAATTACATAGGATTATGAAATTTGGCACACATGTTAAACATACCAGGACCTACAAAAAAGCCTCCTGTAGCCATGGTCTAAACCCCACAGGAAGTCGGCCATTTTGGATTGAAGTAAGCGTCCAAAAAAACGCTCCATCATAAAAGGTCATTTTCATGCTAACCGGTTGTGCCTCATTGCTGGATCCAAGTTTATTATTCCAAGGTGGAGATTAAGGACTTCAGGTTACAGAACGGTAGTTTAGTCATGTTATGTGAAGGATTTTACAGGTTTCTTCTCAGTTCCTTTTAAACATCTCAGGTCAAGTTTTCACCAGAATAAGCTCTGTGAATAGCAAGCTAGCCCAACTACGGCGCATCATTACATAATAAAAGGCTTGTTGATGAGAGAGCCAAAGCAATAGCAGCAGTAACAGCTGGAGAGCTTGGAAAGCAGCAGCTGAGAGAAACACTTTGGAAATGCTCCTAAAATCACTGCAGAGCTTAACAACGGCCAAACTTTCCGTCTGTGGCTGTGGACTCGGGGGGCCCAGTCACTTAGCAAACAGCTTTTAGTGTCAGAACTGGCTGTTATTTTTCTGTCTGTTTGATCAAAAATAAACTTTTTCCTTCTGAAACTAGTGCCTGCCTGAGGTAGGGTTAATAAGGTCAGCTGTGAATGCACTTGCTACCCACCTGCAGGCATCCTTTGAAGCATGAACTCAAAATACAAGAGAAAATAATACTAGATTGGTGATTTTTTTATTTATTAATCTTAATGTTGGGATTATGACAATAAAACAGAATCCATTAAATTCATAATCTTCTCTTTAAACCACAAAGAACCGGTAGATGTTTTATTGGCCGCTCAGAGAGTGCTCGTATTTAATCACCAAGGATTTCTTTCTTTATCAAGGTAATTATAAGACATTTTAATATTTATTTAGTATAAAATTCGTATAGACTTTTAATTTTTTAATAGTTTTGTCAGATTAGAATCATTTCTGTGATCCTTGTGTTTGTTTTTATTTCAACAAACATGGAATAACAGTAATTTTGGCAAAACAAGCATCCGGTTTACAACTTAAAAAAATAGATCTTAAAAATATCTACAAGCGCTTCTTTAAAAATCATTATGTGAAAATTTAAAAAATTGCTTTTTAGATCCTAAAGTTGCATTTTATTTTTTTTAGTTTATCCTTTATTGGATTTTATCCAGTTATTAAGACGCTTTGGAAAGTCTGGAGCTCCTGGGGGATCCAGACCTCTGATCTAGAACAACGTTTATTAGATTGGCTGACTCAGAGTCTAAAACTAAATCTAACTGGGAATCTAAGGCATGATTTTACAATTTACATTCAAAGAAACGCACCACAATCAAAATGTGACTACACTGCAAAAAATCTAAATCTAGATAAGTCATTTTTCCTTAAAATAAGTGCATTTGTTCTTGAATTGAGGAGGTAAAAGAGACATTCTGCCAAATGGAAAAAGACAAGTTACAATTAAGACAATTAAGGGTAAATACACTAAATTAAGGACATTTTTAGTTATTTCTAGATCGTTCTTGCAGTGTATTTCAAATTTTTTTGCGAAGGAGAATCAGCAAAAAAATAAATAGAATAATAATAATGTGAATCACAATTTTCCAATAACTATTTCTACAACTTATTAAAAATCAGCCTCCTGCTGTCATTCCAGTTCAACCCTGTGTAGATCTATCACAGATAGATGCTAATGTGAAGCAGGAATGAGTGTGTTTTAAAATAAGCTCCTTTTCACTGCAGATTTAGTTTTCCTTTTTTTTTTTATTAAAAATAATAATAATAATAATAAAAAAAAAAAAAAAAAAAAAAAACAGATTTTGTTTCCTAGCATCTTTCTTTACAGCAGCTTGTGAATCAAATGTTTTTTTTTGGGTTTGTTTACCTCTGAGTTGCGTTCAGGGACAGAGCGAGGGCCATTGCAGAACATTACCATAACAGAGTTTTTAAGGGTCGCAGGATGATTCATAGGCTGCTTATATAAACACTATTGTTGAGCCTCAGCTCCAGCGTTTCAATGAAAGCAGATCTAAATGACAGTAAAGTCTACGGTCACCAACCGCTTCCTGTGGTAACGGTTACTGGGTTTCTATGGGAGACTCAAGTTTTAGATCATTTAAAAACGTCAGAGCTAGGGCTGCAACAACGAATCGATAAAAATCGATTTTTAAAAGCGTTGGCAACGAATTTCATCATCGATTAGCTGTGTCGCGGGATTAACGCGTCATCTGCCGCCGTCATCACATCCACTTGATTGAAACGGCAGCGAGCCAGCGCCGCAGGTGCGCAAACGCTGTTTTCAGAAGGCAGTAACGTCAACTGTTCTAACGCAAGCTACGTCTCAATTTGCAGAAGGCCTGAGCTTTGTAAGGCAAAAAAAGTCGTAACACACAACTTTAGTAAAAACAAATGAACATGGCACGGAAGCACCACTGTTATGATGCAGCACCTGAAAAGGAAACACGTTGGAGCCTTCGATGGCAGTTAAGAGAGCTGATCAGCAGGGTGAGCGGCCATGTTTGTTTGGTTTTAAAGTGGGGAAACGTTACGTTAGTTTCTCAGGTAGCTCATCTGATGCTTTCCTTACCGTGTTAGTAGGTTACAGACAGTGATAAGGTTGGCTACTTATTTTACTTTTAATTTCATTTGAATTAGCTTAAGCAGCGTTTATATTTACTTTATAAATAAATTAACTTGCAAATTATGAGGGCAAGGCTTTTAAAGTTTAAATCTTCTGGCAAAGATAAAGTAAAGAAGATCCTGCAATTGATGGAAGTAAAGCAGAATAAAATCCAGCAAGATCAGTAATATGTCAATTAATTATCTGCCACATTTCCATGTAAATATCTGTCTTTGGAGGATGTGTTTTTTAGCACCCCTAGTTCTCTCATTTTTATTCCAAATACAATTTATAATTTGAATCACAGGCTATTTTTATCTCTATGGTTCAGTATTTTCTCAAGCAGCAACTTTAACTGCTATACTTTCCTGTCTTAAAAGGCAGAACTCTTCTAGTCTAAAAAAACTCAGTTGTTGAAATGGGGGGGCCTATTGTTTGAACCCCTTAGGGGCTTTAAAAACAAAAATGTCTTTTTTGCGCTTTATGAAACAAAGTAGCCTATATTTTGTGGATGTACAGCTACATTTCTCATGTAAGTTTGCGTAGTTTTAACACAAACATTTATTTTTCATATAGCACCAGTACAGTTAATGAGCAACCTGTACTTGTGTGCTTGTTTGTTCTGTCTAAAATGTTTATTTTGGAATAGAGGTTAATATAAAAAATATTTTTTGTCCGATTCATCGATTAATCGAAAAAATAATCGATTTTTAAAATAATCGTTAGTTGCAGCCCAAGTCCGAGCAGTGTTGTTTTCCTCAACGTTGACGCTCCTTTTTTTCATGACGATAACAAAAACTGGATCTTTGATGATGAAAACATGACCAGCCATAGAGTTTTAGTCTAGGAAATGAGACTAAATAAAAATTAGCGGGTCGTCGGTCAGACATTTAAATGCATCTTTGCATTTAAATGTCACTGGTCATCACTGGTCAGATCCCTGATCTGACCAGTGATGACATGTTTATCCGCATG